CAGCGGTGGGGGTCCTTTTGAAGCAAGTGAAGGACCCGGAGCGGAAGGACCCCCCCACACACCGAATTTCTGCCGAGGGCAGTAAAAAGCCGCGCGCCCCCCCCAACAATCCTGGACTAGATGACCTCCTGAGGTCCCTTCCAACCCTGATATTCTATCATGTGAACAGGCTCTGCAGTACACCAGCTTCTCCCATTGTTTCTTGGCTTGCTAGACAACAGCACTCCGCTTAGCTTCCATACTAGGTTCCACTTGCCCAAATCTGACAAGGGACCCATCCTTGTGCTCAAAACATCTTCTCAAGCCAAATTAAAGACAGGACACATCTTCTAGCTTTCCACTTCTGGGAGGGTTTAATCTACCCTCAGGGAAAGGGGACTTCTTTATTACCAATACATTCAAAGATGCTAACAATACTGTACAGCCTGGGCAAACTGTAAAACTGCTTTCCAGCCAAGCAGAGTTTCCACCACGCTGAGGCTCAACAACACCTCCTGGTGAAAAAGGATATAGTGCTATGCATGCAGACTGCTGCCCTGTCAGCAGTAATGCACTGAAAAACTCAACCCAGAGCAGAAGGACCAGTGTTTGTTTTCTGTTCTCTTAACTGACGCATGTATTTTTGTGTGTATATATAGATATAAAAAAACCCAAACCAAACAATGGTAAAGATTCAAATCTGCTTGTCACAATATAAACTTATTTTCGCCAAGCAAGTATGTGTGTGCCGCCTTTCACGTGAAGGCCAAATGCAGTAGGATGTAAAGCCATCCTAATGCTGCCTTTCTGATAAATAGACAAAAAGTTGCCTTGTTGCTATGCAGAAAAACACACGATTATGCTGACTGTGGACTGTAGGATGTTAACTATAATATTACTTTACTGTAGTTATGGTAAAGAAATGTGAAACTCTGGATAGTTAAGCAAATAGAGGGCCAGTTCTGTCATGCCATTCAAGTGTTTCCAAAACGTACATGCATACATCGCTTGTTGGATGCAACCACTTTTGGCACCAGAATTAATGGAAGGCAGGACACATTTTGGCTACTTAGGTAGCACTGGGGCAACTCTGAGTTCCAAAAAGGTATCGCTGGCTTTTTGTTTAATATCCAGCAGGCAAATGTCTGTTTGAAGTGAAGTTTTTTTAAAAAGATGCTGGGGGATTCAGACAGTAGCTCAAAAATCTGAGCTCAGTTACTGTATCTGTAGTGTAACTTAAATCAAATAAATGGTGTAGCTGAGCTTGGAATATGGCTCAAAATGCCAAACGTTACATACAAGAGCAAGTAACTGGGGATGAATGAGGAATTCTGCAGGTGAAGATTTCAGGAAAGGAAGCATCATGAATAACTAGCTAGGGGAGGGTATAGCCATCCGCTTCCAAAAAGATATCCCTGCACTCCAGAGTAAGGATCCAAAATACTGTGCTAACAGTAGTGTAAGCTGCTGCATATTGGATTATTACTATAGTGTGTTTTTAATAAAGATCCTACCATTACAGCAGTCAAAAAGGAGATGAGGTTGCTTGGAGCTAGGTCAGTCCTACCTCAAGATGTATATCTGGGCAGTAGGTTCTGCTACTGGACGGTTAGTGCCAACATGGACCTGTAAGAAACCCTACAGGCTGGGCTTACTTGAGCCAAATGCCGCAAATCACACCCCTTTCTACATATTGGTCCCATCCTGTCTTCATGATGTTATCATTTTCCCAGAGATGCTTTTTGTGTCGGTATCCTTGATTCCCCCTTGTATTCCCCTGGTCCCTGAAAATCTTTTTTCCTTTCACTCAGATGCCCCCTCTCTGTCCTTACAGCAGTATTTACTATGACACGACTTTGGGCTATGTGGACAGATCATGATGCCACAATGGGAACTCCAGAGCTCTTGATATAACAAGCAATAGCAACCCGTACTTCCTGAGCTCAAAGAGCTTATATATAGGCCCTGATAGACCTAAGAAAATATTGCACACAATGTTAAGATGGGTGGATCTCAGGTAATAGTCTCTCAAATTCTCCATTCTGTAACCGTCTTCCCATTTAGGGCAAAATGGGAAATTGGCATTGTTGAGTCCTATAAAAGTGATACTTAATGAGCCACACTTTTCTCAATAAAGAAACAGGCCAATTGGGCTGTTCTAGAAGTGTCCATTGCGCCCTGCTTTTCAAGGGTTTCAAAACAACTGTTGAGGTGTGTCTTATGGCTAATAACCTCTTTCACCTGTAGAAATTCAGTAATAGCCCCACCCACAATGCTGATTGGTTTTCTTGGTGAGAAAGGAAATTCCCATTGGATGGCAGCAGCTTGTCAGTCATACTTTTGTCCTTCTCAGAACTGTATTAATACCAAGTACTCTAAGACAGGCTTTTATATCCTTGTGTGGGTGAGCTCTTGCTTCAATAGTGGTTGTGGAGAGTCTCTTTCAGTTGTAAGTGTCTGTTGGTGTTTTACACCTAAACCTTAGAGGTAAGGAAATGGAGTCCCAGGTGCGCCAAAACTTCCATGCTGACTGTGAGGCTGCTGTGAACCGCATGGTGAATATGGAGCTGTATGCTAGCTATGTTTACCTGTCTATGGTGAGTAGCTTTGTCTTAAAATCATATAAAATTTTGTCTTGAACAGGGCTAATCTTGTAGCCATAATTTATTGGAGAAGCATGTTTCCTGATGTGCTAGTGGTTTTGAAATGAGGGTATATTTCTCAATGTGATTCCCTCAAACCTAATGGCAGCTGAAATGTCAAGGTTACTAACCTCTGATTGCCTTAGCAGCAAAACATATCAAGGTATTTATCTTATTGCGAGCAACCTTCCTCTTTCATGAGTGGTGAGGACTATTATTGTCCCTCTTCTAGAATTCTGGGCAGCTATTTTCTCTTAACTTTTGGATAACTCCAGAATGCTGAAATCAACAGTAAAGAAACCTTGGTGCAAGTAGTGGATAAATGAAAGAGGATGAGGGAATGGGACAACTCCATTGATGCTGTAAACCACCTTAATAATGAACATAAGTTTTTGATGTCAGCAGAACATGGAGCACAATTTTTAGCTCATAGGGCAAAGTGCTGTATCACAAGTGTGTCATGTGCAATAGCTGCACATATCTTTTATGTAGAGTAACTGTTAAGATTCAAAGGCCTAACTTCTTTCTATAGGTTGTAGGAGTTGAGGGAGGTTAATTGCTATTACAGACTGATTTGGAATCTTGTAACTGTTTCTGGGGCAGTGGGTGGTGATATAGGGGGAGGAATCTTGTCTGAATCCCTATAACTACTCACAAAGAGTTGAGACACTGGAAGGAAAATCCTCTGCATTACTTTCTCTCTAGTCCTACTACTTTGATCGTGATGATGTAGCCCTCAGACATGTAGCAAAGTTCCTCAAGGAGCAGTCCCATGAGGAGAGGGAGCATGCAGAGAAGTTCCTGACCTACCAGAACAAGCGAGGGGGACAAGTTATCTTGCAGGATATCCAGGTGAATAAATATTTCAATGAGTACCCAGTGAGCAGCTGATGGAATGACCCTGGCTCTAGAGTTTTATTCTGCATGTTACTAGTGGCAAATGGGTTTGTAGTCCATTTGCTCCTCTACAGGACTGCTAACCTTTATTTGTGAAACCATGTGTTTTTTCAAAAACATCTGAGGGGAGTTGAGGCTCCCAATCCCCTGCAGTAAAACCTCTTGCACTGCGAACTATGGTGACCAAGGCAGAGGTAGGGAGTGTCAGATTACTGGTAGTACAGTTGGGGAGGTGGTAGATCAGGAGTAAGCAGCATTGGTAGAGCATTCTACAGTAGTCTTGGCCCTGAGTTTAGCTTACCTTCTCTCTTCTCCCCCCCGCCCCCCATGACACACTAAGTAATGGAGTAGCTCATAGAATTAAAAAGGATAAAATAGCTTGTTTCATCTTCAGAAATGGTGCAGTGTATTGTAAAAGGAGCCTGCTATCTGTGGTTCATAAATGAGACAGGTGGGGATGTCGTGTGTGGTGGGTTTTTTTTAAATATTTTTCTTTTAATGGTGGTCTGCCTTGACAGAAACCAGAACGGGATGAGTGGGGGAACAGCCTGGAGGCCCTGCAATGCGCCCTGCAGCTGGAGAAGACGCTGAACCAGGCCCTGCTGGACCTGCACAAGCTGGCTACGGAGAAGAATGACCCCCATGTGAGTACTAGCTAAATCTTAAATTGAGACCATGGGTGCATGCTCTTTGTACAGTGGGTACCTGCTCCCTGGTTGTGTCACTAAATGTTGCCACAATAGAAATAAAGCACAAGGAAATGCAGGTGTTTGGATCAGAAGAGAGAGATTTGAACCACTGGCTCTTCTCTTGCCCTCTTACCTTACCTGTTTGGGTGGGAAAGGCTTGTGCAGTTTCATGCCATGTGCATGAGGTGACTTCACAGTAGCCTTCCTGACTTGCAGTACTGATGGGAATTCCTTTACTGATCATAGAATTGGAAGGGACCTTGAGGTCATCTAGTCCAGTCCCCTGCACTCAAGGCAGGACTAAGTAGTCTCATTCTAGACCATCCCTGACCGGTGTTCAGGGATTTTTTAAGAGCAGGTTGGACAATGGAGATTCCACAACCTCCCTAGGGCAACTTATTCCAGTGCTTCGAAAAAACTTAACTGTCAGGGTGATTAATGTCCAACCTAAACCTCCCTTGCTGCAATTGGAGCCCTTGCTTCTTGTCCTATCCTCAGAGGTTAAGGAGAACAATTTTTCTCCCTTCTTGTAACAACCTTTTATGTACTTGAAAATGGTTGTCCCCTCTCGGTCTTCTCTCCAGAATGAAAAATGGTCATGTTTTCTAGACCTTTAATCATTTTTGTTGCTCTTCTCTGGACTTTCTCCAATTTGTCTACATCTTTCCTGAAATGTGGCAGCCAGAGCTGGACACAATACTCCAGTTGAGGCCTAATCAGCACAGAGTAGAATGGAAGAATTATTTCTCATGTCTTGCTTACAATACTCCTCCATGCTAACTGATGGTAGAATGAGGCTTGTTAAAACTCTGGTGTGGGTCCCTCATTTTTGGTGCTTGCCCATTGCAGATCAGGTGCTGTTGAGTGAGCAACTTTACATTCCCCCCTGAAATGTGGTGGGAACTGATTTCTTTTGTCCATGCTTTGCCAACTTCAGCTTTGAGCAAGGTCACCAATGGGGGCTCCATGCTGCCTTCCTTTCCAGGCCCCCAGTGGACCATGGAGTCTCTCAGCACATTTGTCTCAAGTCAATATTCTCTCCATTTTTATAGGATTGGAACAATCCACCTTCACTTTATTTCTGTCTTTTCCCCCTAGCTCTATGACTTCCTGGAGTCTGAGTACCTTGAGGAGCAGGTGAAGACCATCAAGCAGCTGGGAGACCATGTCACCAACCTGAAGCGCCTGGGAGTGCCCCAGAATGGCATGGGAGAGTACCTGTTTGACAAGCTCACCCTAGGGGAGAGCAGCTGAATGCAGTACAGGTTCTTGTGTTTAGAAGGAATGTCTTACCTGAGCTCAAAATAAAGAAGAATGGAAAGCTGTTTTGGCTGTAACATGGCTTTCACTTGTGTATATGTGTAATATATAGGATGCCTCTAAACTGTATTGGAACAAAGCATGGGAGGGCATAATGTCAAGAGGATAATGAGGGACAGTGAAATTCAACTAACATTCTATACAGCAACAGATGTGGCCCTATGAGGAGTTTATTCATGCTAGTCTTCCTCTACACACACACACACACATTCTGGCTAAAATCTAACTCCTCTTTCAGCAGATCTCCTTGTACACAGTTCAGGAAGAATCCCTACAAATATAGTATTCATTGGATCAGCCAGCAATAGGAATGTAAATGCCAAGAGTGGGACTGGCTATGGATAGTGGTGGCAGCAGAAAATGGGATGGAGAAATAGTGCACTTAATTCACCAAACTGATGTAGGAGCACTATGGGAGCTCAGATTACAAATGGCAACATTCATTTGGGAGAGCTATGCTGAAGGGCAAGAGTTTTCTCCCCCCCTCCCCTGGAGAACTAGTACTAATCCAACTGCTTCCAGGAATCAAAAGACCTGAAACATACAGGGTTTGTCCCTTATGATCTCTTAAAGGGAGTGTCAGGAAAAAACAAACCCAAGTCAACTGGGGATGAGGAAGGGAGGGAAGACAAGATTCCTTGCAGACTCTTGTAGCACTTACTTTAGCTGGTGTCTGCCATATAAAACCAGAGTTTAGCAGGTCGCTCTGTGTTTGAGAGGCCCTGTATCAGGGCTGGATTAGGATAGCACAGCGAGTTATATGCCAAGAAGGGACACATGCCCCCTTCTGATTTTTAGATGGAACATTCCAACAGCCTCCAGTTATCTGACCAGGATAGGCTGGTGGAAACCGATGTTCCCTGCTCAACTACGCATTAAAAGGGTGTGTTCTAGGGTAGGACCACCTCACCTACTGGGCACCTGCACCAAAGTGAAGCTGCTTCTAGCTGTGGCTGTTACTCCGCTCTACTCCTACCCTAAAAGACAAATGCAGGAAGGGGTGGGTGCTGGAACAATACCTCTAGAAGGCACAGCACTGGCTGAAAGCTGAAGCTAGACCACTTCAAACAGGAAATAAGGTGTACACTTTTAATGGTGACCGTAACTAACCTTTGAACAACTTAACAAGGGTTGTGGTGTGTTCTCCATCACTGACAACTTCTAAAAGATATTGGATCTTGGTCTGAAAAAAGAGATGCAGCAGGAATTTGGGGAAATTCTTGGGCTTGTCTTCTTCAGAGTAGATGATCACAATGGTTCCTTGTCTTGGACTCTGAGTCAGTGGAGTGGTGGGTTGAGACCCATTGCCTCCAAAGGGGTTCTAACACCCCCTAGAAGGAAACCTGACAGGCCTAGCAGCAAAGGGAGGTGCTGAGTCTTGGCAGGAGAGAATTGTTCTGGAACCCACAGCAGGATGGGGCTTATCTTGTTGAAGTTCAGCACTGGCTCGGGCTCATTTTCACTGAGAAACCCTGACTCAAAGGGAAGGGGGAGACTCTCATCTAACTGCAGCACAGGCTTGTGGTAGTAGGAACTACAATTCTTGCCCCGGGGCAGACTCTCTCCTGCTCTAGGGCTCTACCCCCTCACTTTCCTTCCACACTAGGCCACTATCCTTACATGCACTCCTGGGTAGGATGAGACCTATTTCCACCCTCTTCTAAATGAACAACCGTACCTTCTTCTTTGGAATAAAAGCTTGTTAATTAACAGTAACACATGTGAGACCTCTCTTCTGCTGTGCACGGAGGATGAGATCAGGAGCCTTTCTGCAGGAACAATTCCCTTGGGTTTCTGTAGGTTAGAGGGTGGGGTCATTTGCTTTCATGAAATAAAGCAAGAGTGGCTTTTTAAATTTTTGTGTGTCCAGTGAGAACATTCTACAGGGCATAGCTGTAAGAGGCACCTTCTTGCTCAGTATAACCCTGGGGAAGCTAATAGCTGCACTGATTGGCCTTGGGATCATGCTTTTGGCAGGCATGGAGTATCCCTTGTGTAATTGTTTCATTCTCTCAAACCTGGTTCATCACTGCTACTTTCTTGTTTCCCCATTTGGTGTGCAGTAGTGCAATTATTGCAATAAGCTGAGATAGAATTCTTAGTGGTAGAAGTGAATCCATTTTTTGTAGCCCCATGTGCTGAGAGTATGGGGTGGAGTGAAGAGACATGGATTGGAGAAGCTGGAAGATAATGCATAAATTCCCCATTCCACCTAAAATCACTATTGGGTTAATTTAAGGAATAACCTTATTAACTGGACTGTAAAACTTTACTGAATCATGCTAGCTTTTCATACTCACTTCACCTATATATTAAATTATTTCTATCCTATCCCTTACTGACTTTAAGAAAGGGAAGACTGCATTCTATAAAAGTGTTTGATCTCTTGATAATACATGATTTATTGCTATTAACCTTTAGATCACACTTTGGCTGTTCTGGTTTCATTTACTTTGTTCAGTTAATATTCTGTATCTTCAAAAGAAATCTTCAAAGTAGAACTTCAATCAAATCATAGTTGTGCGTGTTGTCTTCCTGGATTAAATGTATACCCACAGCCAGCACAGTGCTGGCTACGGTGACAGAAGGTTGTTTAAACTGTTTCAAGAGGATGTGTGCACAATGCAAAATTCTTCTTGGGTCCATGATTATCTATAAAACAGGGGTGTACTTTTCAATCTTACATGACTCAAGTTGACTTGATGCCAAAGAAAGTTGTAGATGGTCAGCACCCTGGAATATCAGGCAACTTATGTATTTAAGTTCCTACTCCTGCAACGAGTCCTGCATTGGTGAATCCTTTTACCCATGTAGAACACCATGGACGTCCATGAGGTTTTGTGTAGAGGCAGGGATCTGCCTGCATGGAGCTTGTTGCAAGATTGAGGCACCCAAGTCTGAAAGTTGGGTCTTTTTTAATATTACATGTATATTTTTAAATTTTCATTCCATTTCCCATAATATGAAGAAAATGAGCATTTTCCTTGAAATCCCCACTCTTCTTCCCTCCATGAGATTGGAAACGTACTTTTTGGGCTAAGACTAAAGATGGAGATGTTCGGCTCCAAAGCACAGATTTTTTTTTTAATGAGTTATGATGAAGGCTCCAATCTGCAAAGACATACGTATGTGCTTAACTTTATTACCAGGAGAACTTTTATTGCTTTCACTGGGATTGCTCAGATTAGTAAAGTTCAAGACGGGTTTGCTGCTCTGGGACCTTACAGAGAACAAGGTGCTCAAGTGCCAGACCTTGCCTAGTGTATATGCTAATATCAAACTGTATTTTTCTCTGCTATGCTAAATTATATATATTGTAGCTTTCTGTCTTTTTAGTTCTTCAGATTACTCACTTCATGAAAGCAGATACTTATTTCAGAAATGGTTAAAAAATACAGCCAATATATGTAAATAATTCCCACTGGCTCCTGGCTAATCTACTATCTTCATACTGTACAGTATCAGTAAACCAACAGAAACCAAGCCATATTAAAAATGGATGGAATCAGGAAAACATTCTTGAAAGGCTTTTGCTCAAGTGATTGACACAGATTGGAATAAATGCATGTTGTTGCTTGTGCTCACTTAGGGGGATCTGAACTTTCAGATTTGGAAAGATAAGGCCCCTTCCTCCCCACTGTCTTTGGGTGCTAGTGCCAGCAAACTCCTGATATCCCAGATGGGTGGTATCTATTAAAACTGTATATAAAGGTTTCTGTCATGGCTATTAATATGGCACCTTCCCCCTATCCCATACTTACCTTTAAATTCTCCTATGGGCCCCTCCCAATGTAATATCTAACATCACAGCCATATCAGATGTGCCTCTCCTGCAAGTAGTAGGATAAGATTAAAGCCACTTGCTAACTGTCTCCTCCACCATCATCCTAGTTACTAGAGAATTTAAGGAGTCATGCCAGTACTTATCTCCACTCTAGTTTTCTGGTATGCTAACATCCTAGCAGCAGACTGTCCCTCTTGTCATCAGGTTGTGGACCATCCATGACCACAGAGCATGAGTGTGTAAGAGGCTGTAGGGAGAGCTAAATTAACAGAGAAGAGCCTCCAGAGCTTCCACTGTAACAGGGAAGTAAAGTTTCACAGAACTAACAACCATACAGAGGAACTGTATGGATACCTAGGAAATACCACAAAAAACACCATGCATGCTCCAAGAAACACGCTCCCAAGCTCTACATTTTAGTTACCTCATTGCAGACCACTGTGGGCAGACATATTTATTAGGTGACTTGTAATCATTACATGCATAATGCATTAAAAACACAAGAAACCAGAGAGCATTCTGCTTGATACAGTCCTTCTCTCCTCAGCAACTTTCTCTCTAAGAGTGAGGCTGCTGTTAATCACATAGTGAACCTAGAGCTATATGCTAGCTATATCTACTTGTCAGTGGTAAGGCCTTATTGGTTCTAGTATTCTAAAATAGAGAGTACAATGTATTGTAGCCATGTGACAAAAAGAAAATTCTTGTAAAGATGTTTGGTTGAGGATAACAAGTTTTGCTAGGGCTAGTACTCTCTGATTAGTAGCTCTTAATGGTGTAAGCATGTAAGTGAATATAGGTGTGCTCTCTTTAGTAAGGACACTGAGGTTGTTGTGTTAGATCTTTCAGGATACAAAACAAACTCAGCTCATCTTCAATAGCTATTTAAAGACACTTTAGGCTGTTGAGGAGAACTACACTGACTAAAAAACTCCTCTGCTAACAGCTTGTATCAAAGCCATACATCAACAAACATAGTATTACAGTGACTTGTACATCCCGGTCTCTTAATAGATAGACCAGTACTATTAACTGCATATGGGAGAATTCCTTACATGAAGGAACTCTGGGAAGTCCATGATTAACTCCAGGGAAGTGGAAGTTCTGAGGCTCTGATGGCATAAACTCAAGGTTTATGTAATCACGCAACCCCAAAGCACATGTAAGAGTTGGGGGAGAAATGAGGGTTGTGTAGGCAGCTGAGTTTTTTCACCCACCTGTTTACTTTACATAGTCTATAACCTATTAAATATAAGTCTGAATTGTATTGTTTAACTGAGTTCTGTAGAGTTTGTTCCTGAAAACTAGGCCCGGACTTATTGGGTGAAGGGATATTTCCTGAGAAAGGAAATCAAATAGTGGGGAGCTGAGGAAGTTACCAGTGCAGAATGAATCCAATGGCACCATGTGCCCTGGTGAACAATTTCTCCATCATATGCATAATACACATGTTTTTATAAATGAAATGAGTGTTCCTTGAGTTGGTGCCTTTTTTGCAAAAATATATTGGAGTGCCCGTTCTCCAATAGATCCATTAGCTCCATTTTCTGGTGTTCTTAGAAAATTGGTCATGGATGTTTCTGTTTCTGCAGCTACCATCAGAAAATCCAAAAAGAGAGCAACAGAGGGTCCTGTGGCACCTTTGAGACTAACAGAAGTACTGGGAGCATAAGCTTTCGTGGGTAAGAACCTCACTTCTTCAGATGCAAGTTTGAGTTTAAAAATGCCTTGCATCTGAAGAAGTGAGGTTCTTACCCACAAAAGCTTATGCTCCCAGTACTTCTGTTAGTCTCAAAGGTGCCACAGGACCCTCTGTTGCTTTTTACAGATTCAGACTAACACGGCTACCCCTCTGATACAAAAAGAGAGCGTACCCTATGAAGAACTCATCTGTAATATCAAGAACTACAAACACAGCTATGTAACCCATGGGTGAGTGTGTGTTATAGGTCTGCCTCAGTGTCCCTTTCATAGAGGATATGAGTCTGTTACAGCCTCACTGAGAAAGCTTTAGCTTTTAAACTCAAGCTGTAGTAGCTCAATGTTTAAGTTCTGGAGGTTCTCCAATTCAATCCTCAGTGTGTGAACCAAGATGGCCACAGTGGTTACTACACTTCTACTTAAGCTCCTGATATTTACAAATGCATTAGCATGTCACATCGTGCCACATTCTTCTTATTCTCGCTTCAGTTTGATTTTCCCCCCCTATCCTTCTATGTCTTGACTGTTCTTATTCCTCTGTGTTCTGAAGATGCTCCTGTCAGGTACATCAGATTCTTACAACTGTTTCAGCAGTTCCTGATTGTTTCTGCTGCTTTCCTTTGTCCCTGCCTCAGATTTCACCTCACTGCTCTCTGATATCCCCGCTATCACTGTTCTGTGACAGACATCAGGTGATCTGAATGTACAGAAACTAGAGATGGGTCTGAACCAAAACCCCACATCCCAAAATAACTGAACTCTGAGGATGTTCAGATCTGGGTCTGGACATTGCACCTGGCTCCATTCTAGAATGGGTCAATCCAAAATTCCAGGTCTAGACCCCTGAACTGAGTGGTTCAGGGGAAGCAGGACTTCAGAGCTTTCCATATAACAGGCAGATTATCACACAGTTTTACTAGTAGGTAAGTAACCGTGACACCATTCAAAAGATAGTATTGGAAACAATAAGACATGCCATTACAGGCATAATTCCCCCAAACTTCCCATTCTAGCTCTTCTTCTTTGGGCAATTGGGTGTAATTACTAACCCATTTTCTTTGCACTCAGTGCAAGAAAACTAGAGATTTTCCTGTAGTGACTATGCTGTTCTAAAAAAGTATCAATAAACCCCTAAAGTTACAGGACAACAGGTGCTCTGTATTACTGAATCATCCGCTCAGCTGTGGCAATTCTGTTACAAACCATCCCCAGAATGCTGACTGGTTCCTGGAAGAGGGGAGAAATTTCAATTGGTTGGAGAGCCCATGACAAGCACATCCATCCTACTCTGAAGAGTATTAATGCCAGATGTGGAATGTAACCCAGACTCTGGGTTCAGTGGTGTTTAAATTGTTAGTTTATAGTGAAATTTAGATCCAGCTATGAGTAGTAGTGTGATGGAGTCTCAGTTGTGTCAAAACTTTCATCGTGAATGCATGGCTGCCATCAATCGGATGGTGAACTTGGAACTGTATGCTAGCTATGTATATCTCTCTATGGTGAGTGCTGGCTGTATGCTTAATGGTTTAAAACAGAAGCACTTCTAAAAGCTCTTTTCCTGAGTAACATTTTGAACTGCAGCTGTTTGGGGCAAAACGTAGAATTTTTTTTAAATAAATATATAAATTAGATCTCTCTGCTAAATCTGGATTGTTTCTCATAATACTTTTTCTCTTTTTAAATTTGGTGGCTAGTCTGTATAGCTTTCAAAGTCCTAAATCATGATTTGCACAGGCTAATAAATCTTGTCAAAAGTCTTTTGTGATATGCAGTCTATTTCTGTGCATAATTCCTAGCTATCCTCCAAGACACCAGCCTGTCTTGTCATACTTGGTGTCTATACTTGTCAAATATCTATAGGGCAGATGGACATGGCAAGTCCATCTTGGTCATCTCTAAAGCAAACTATAGATATTCAGCCCTTCTAATCTTTCTAATTTAATTAATGTAGTCCCCCAATATACTTATTGCTTTACACTCCACTCAGGTCAGTTTTCCTATAACTTCTGAAAAAATGTAGCCCAAAACTGAGCACCCCATTCTGGCATAGGGAGCTTATAGATTAGATTTGAACTGTATATTGTTACTATCTAGCAGTATGTAGTTTCCAGGCAGCACAGCTGTTTGAAAATGAGAATTTTATTCTTCTGAGGAGAAACTGATATTTCAATGTTTGTTTTTTTGTCTTGAATCAGGATAAAATTGTGAAATTTTTGTAAAACAAAAAGCTTCAACTAGGAAACACGGCAACACTTTGCCTGAACACTCAAAATGTTTTGTTTCAGGTTGGTTTGACAGTGACCTGTATCTGCCTGAGCTGCCATGGTGCCTCATGGGAGTTGTAGTCCACCCTGGGAGCCTGGAATAGAGAACTACATTTCCCATGTTACACTATAGCCATTCAGCGCTTCCAAGCAGGTGGTTGGACTGAGTGTGGAGGAGGAAGTAGGGAAAAGAGAGCTCTAAATCTGAGGTGGCTCCAGAGCAGAATCAGTAGCGGGGAAGGCGCTGTAACTGTAATTCCCATTGTATTAATCACCTAAGAATATATGCCTCTATTGCACTTTAATGTTTCAGTTGCTTTTAAAATTGTGTGGCTGTGTTCATTGTCGATAACTCAATGAAGCTATCTGCTCAATGAGCAGCTCAGTGTGTCCTTGTATGGAGATGGGGGACATAATTCAACAAAAGCAAATGGTAGCAAATTCAAAACTGTTAAAAGGCTGTATTTGTTCACTCAATGTGTAATTAGACTGTGGGATGCATTACCACAGATGTTGTCAAGGCCAAGAATTTTTTCAATCTTCAAAGAGGGATTGGATAGTTATATGGATAACAAGAATATCTAGAGTTAGAACAGGTAATACAGAAGTATTGGCATGGATAAAAACCTCATATTTAAGCCAATCTCCTCTTAGTTTTAGGATGAGACATCCATGAGGAGGCAGATTGCATCACCTGTGCCTAATGTGTGGGTCCTGGACCTTCCTTTGAAGTAACTGATGCTAGCTAGTAGATGGGTCACAGGTTTTATAGAGTTGGACAATTCCTACACTGGTGTTCAGACATGTCTATTGCATACACACCTTATTACACATAAACAGGTAGCGGTACACTTGTCTAATGACAGATGATATGAATATATAGTCCCTCTTTAGGTCTAATTGCCTCCATTGATCTCCTGTCCCTCTCCCCAGTCCTATTACTTTGACCGTGATGACGTGGCCCTGAGGCACGTGGCCCAGTTCCAGAGGGAGCAGTCCTGCAAAGAAAGGGAACACGCAGAGAAGTTCCTGAAATACCAGAACAGACGAGGAGGACGTATTATCCTGCAGGACATAAAGGTGAGAAACCAATCAGGGTGCAAGAGAGAGATCTCTGGCACTAAGCATTCAAACAGGAGTCTAAATATTTGTTTTAGGTATAGTTTTTGGCTGTAATTGATGAACTCCTACAGGAATATGACAGATGAGCTCAAGTAACAGCTCTCTAAATAGTTGGCTGTTTGTCTAGCTGTTTGTCTGACCTGTTTGTCTAGCTCTCTGACAAGAGGTATGGGCTTCAGAAGTAGATGTATTAGTGTCCTCGCTTGAAGGAGAGGGGTGACTGGCATCCGCTAATCTTTGTGGTAAAGAGGTGGTGGTTTGAGGAAAGTATTTGGTTCAGAATACCAAGGTAAATGTTCTGCCAAGTTGATAGTCATACAGGTCTACCAGTGCAAGAAGCTTGCAGCCCACCAGCCTGAGTAAATTTTAGCTCTAACTGGTGTTACCACAGTCTGATACAGCATTGAGGCATATTACTTTAAATAGGAATAACTAAGAAAACAAGTTAAACAAAAGCCCAGTGAAAGCTTCAGTGAGGGGGAATGAACTCCCTGTGCCAGTGAGGCACACGGGTGATAGCAAGTGAAGCAGTGTGGCTTGGTCAAACAGAGGTATTGCATGCTACAGATGGCACTGACTTCAGTAAGTGAAGCTAGAAGGCCATTTGTTAAAGGGCACATAACTTTGTTTGGGCTTGTACAGAAGCCCGAGCGGGATGAGTGGGGGAACAGCCAGGAGGCCCTGCAATGCGCCCTGCAGCTGGAGAAGACGCTGAACCAGGCCCTGCTGGACCTGCACAAGCTGGCTACAGAGCAGAATGACCCCCATGTGAGTATGTGTGGGAGTTGAGACTGAAGCAGAGATGTATATGGGAACATAAGCTACCTTTTCTGGGTGGGGAGTGGGAGATTTCTAATATGACCACAGTGGCTGTTGGCCTATTTAGAATCTTTCAAACTAGAAGACCTTTATCTGTTTGAGATTCCCTGACTAGCAGTTCCACCATGTAATGGTAACCTCACAAAATGGAGGGCATTTTAACTGCAAGAGCTCAATTACACAATACCTCGCCCTCTGTAGTTGGCCATGAACAGGCTGCTTGGCACTCAACCCTGCATTGAAAAACAGGCCCAGGTCCTCAATGGAACTATGCTGGTTTGACAAGTGACTTCTACTAAATGAGGATCTGGTCCACAATTAGAGAGAGACCGGAATCTGCTGTCAATGATTTTTGATGGAAAATGTGGTTTCTACAAAATTGAAAAGTTTCCATTGGAGAAACATCTTTCTACCAATATCTTCAGATTTCTGTTGGCGGGGGGAGGAGGGGAGAATCTGAACAATTTAACTTTTGGGTCATTGTAACACAATCTCTCATCCTGAGCTGCCATGGGGTTGCAGGTGACTCGTGTCCCTCTTCTCTTCTGTTGGCAGGGTGCTCTGTCCATGCTACAACTCACATGGTACACCCATTTCCTCTCTGGCTGAATCACAGTGGTGTCATTCATGGAATGTTGTCTGATTGAGTTCTCAGGCTTATGGAGGCATGTGGCACCAGAACGCCAACTCCCATGAGACATCCCAGCAGCTCAGGCAGATCGGTTCCATGTCAAACTTAGTCAAAATGTGATGTTGCGTGTTTCTGAAATGGGGGTATGGGTGTGGAATTTTGTCCTGATTAGGAAACTCCCATTTTTTGAGGCTTCCATCCAGAGCTAGACTCATAGAAATGTAGGGCTGGAAGGGACCTCAAGAGGTCACTTAGTCCAGCTCTCTCTACAGAGGCAGGACCAAGTAAACCTAGACTATCTCTGACAAATGTTTGTGCAACTTGTTCTTAAAATCTCTAATGGTGGGGATTGTACAGCCTCACTGGAAGCCTTTCCCAGGCTTAACTATCCTTACCGTTAGAAAGCTCTTCCTAATACCTAACCTAAATCTCCCTTACTGCATATTAAGCCTGTTTCTACTTGTCCTATCAGGTATGGATGACAATTGATCACCATCCTCTTTATAACTGCCCTTAACGTATTTGAAGACTTATGGATCCCTGCTCACTCTCTTTTTCTAAAGATTACACATGCTCAGTTTTTTTAAACTTGCTTCATAGGTCAGGTATTCTAAACCTCTTATCATATTTGTTGCTCTCCCCCGGAATCTCTCCGATGTAGCCATATCTTTCTTTCTTAAAGTGCGGCACTCAGAACTGGACACACTACTCCAGCTTGGGCCTAATCAGGGCTGAATAAAGAGGGCAACTATCTCTCTTTGTGTGTCTCTCACACAACACTTCTGGTAATATGCCCCAGAATATTCGCTTTTTCCACAACTGTAACACATTGTTGACTCATATTCAGGTTGTCATGTACTATAACTCCTAATTCCTTTTCAGCAGCACAGTACTACTGCCTAGCCAGTTACAAAATGGGAAGTATTTGTGCATTTGATTTTTTTTAGTTATGATAGTTTACTGTTATGCCATTAATATTGTTTCTTTCAGATTTCTCCTGATTTTTTTTTCCCTTCCTCCTCCTTATCCATTTTTATTCCCTTGGAACCTTGCCTACTAGTTGAGTTGGGATGAAATGTGGAAATAGCAAAACTTCATAGGACTGAAATTCCAATTTTTAGTCATCTCTACACCTATCACTTAAACATCAGGTGACAGTACAGTAGAACAGGTGATACCTGTTCTTCATAAACTACTGCCTCTTTCTCTAGCTATGTGACTTTCTGAAGTCTGACTACCTGGAGGAGCAGGTGAGGGCTATCAAGCAGCTGGGAGACTATCTCACCAACCTGAAGCGCCTAGAAGTGCCCCAGAATGGCATGGGAGAGTACCTGTTTGACATGCACACCCTGCGGGAGAGCTGCTGAACTTCACTCTGAGATACTGCCTAGCTTGGTGACACCTCTGTGCACAGAGAAGATGAATTGACTGAACGCTAAATATTGTGAATAAAACATGGTTTTCAGTTGTAACTTGATTTTTTTTGGGGGGGGGGGGCCTTACTTTGTGCTGTAGTGAACTGGCTTACATGTCTAGTTCTGCTGTACTCACAGGCAATAGAACTCAACATACTGTTAGTGCTCTAACTACTGCTCATTAACAACATGCATATGCTTCTTGACTATACCCACTTCAGCAGGAAGCTGAAACGTAACTCTCAATCATAGTTGAAGGCTCAATCACTTCCTGTCTTATCCCTCAACCACTACCCTAAACGGGTTCAGAAACTACTGCATGTACAAATGAGCTTATTTTCTTATAGTCGCTTAATAACCAACCTATCTCTATTTTTCACTCAAGTCCGCCATACTGTTGGCTCTCCAGGCAGTATTTCCACACCAGTGAGATTCTCTCTCTCTCTCTCTCCCCCTTCCCCGCCCCATCACTGCAGGTAGTAGGTGAAAATCTCCTACCTCTAAGATTCTGATTAAGCAGAATGATGCCTTGTACTAGCCTGCCCTAGCAAGTAGTCTCGTGCCTCTCAAATAGAGCTTTCCAGGTAACCTGTCACAAGAGGACTGTTCTTCTGACTTCTTATAGGCAGCAGTTTGCAATGGGCAGAGATGCTATTTTGTCAAAAGCTACCTAGAAAGCTGTAGTTGGAGGGAGAGAGGAACCTTTCATAAGCACAGTGGTATCCCTCCCGTTGACAGGGCTCTGACATTGGATTTATGAGAACCATGGTTGTAGAGCTCCTTGAGAATGAAGTCAGGTACCACGCCAGGCTGAATGTGTTCAAAGATAATCTCTGCAATGCTCTCTTAGCATTGAGTTCTCCTGTCTAAAAAGGCACCATACAGGTGGTGAGAAATAGTTGAGTAACTGTGTTTAAGGCATCAGCATGAAAGATTAGTGATCTTGGCGTGTAGTAGCTACTTTGTTCCGGCCACTGTTGACACGGGGTAAATGCCATGGCTTCCTTGTCTTTTATTTCCTTGGAAGGAAGAGAGCTAAACTCACTGACATACAGATACCAACAAGAAACCTTTTTAAAAAATTCTATTTTCTATTGTGTAACGCTTCATAAGGGTTTAGTGCAACCTAGGGGGGGGGGGGAGATCTAATCCAATGCTGATAATCAAGATGTTGCCAGTTTTGTTCCTTTCCCTTCCCTTCCCCATCACTGTCCTTCACAGGAGAGGCTAGTTAAGACAGTTTGGGCTGCCCAGGAATCTTTGCTCCAGCAGCAGAGCTGCAGGTGATAAATAACAGATTGGCAGAAATTTGGTTGCTCGGGTGTATTTGGATGTTGTTTTGCAACATTGTGATCCTGATCCCTTTGAATTAGCTTTGCCCATAATAAAAATGTGGAATTCAGATCTTCAAGCTGGTTGAATATTGGCTGAGAGGGACTGTTCTATTATAGGCTATTAAGGAAATTCATTAATTGATTTACCCACTTCCACTGTGCATGAGATCATCAAGGGAAGTGGGGAGAATTCCTTTAATTTTTACCCTCTGGTGTGATTGTGGAAGGAACCAGGATCAGGCTTTTCCCTTACATGCTAAAACCTGTTTTTTTTTTTAAAGGAGTGGAAGGCAGAGAAGAAAACTCAGTGTGACAGCCAGAGGGACAATGGCTCCGGTCACTGTGTTTCTTAAAATTCATTCACTCCCACACAGACCTCCTGCACTGACAGAGGCCAGGCGCCATCAGTACATGACATTTTGAAGGTGCACCCATAAAATGTTTTGAATAAAAAAGGTAGCAAGGCATTGCCTTTCACTGGAAAAAAAATGTGAGAAATCATTGCATGTGGGTCATGGGACTTTTGCCTGTTTTTTAAAACACACTCACATATTTCATCTTCTGGCCCCAGCATGACATTTAATAATGGAAAACACACTCTGATTATCTACTGACTCTTTCAAGTGCAATAGGATGCATCAGGTTTGGTTTTACCCTTGCCACAAATGTTGCTTGCTGTTCCTGTGACCACCACTGCCAATATTCCTAGGCCTGTGCTGCTGTTTATTGCCATCAAGTCCTTCCCTCTCCACTTAGGCCTCTGGAGTTTCTAGTTTTCCCTGTTCTCCATGTTCTATTTTTGTTTATTTCTTGTTTGTTGTTATTGTTGTGCTCACAATGTGCTAGGTGCTGTACAAATATAACAAAAAGCCCATCTCCTGCTCCCAGAGTTAATACTGAACTGTGTCCCTTCTGCTCTTGACTTTTTCCCAGTCTCTTCTATGTCAAACCTCAAGGTCCTTTCCAGGCATCTGAAGAGAGGGGATTTATAGATGCATAGATCCCAAGGCCAGAATGTACTACTGTGTTCAGTGAGCTTGACCTCCTGTATAACACGGGCCATGGGAACTCCTCAGAATAATTCCTAGAGCACATCTTTTAGAAAACCATCCAATCTTGATTTAAAAACTGTCAGTGAGGGAAATCCACCACTACCTTTTGTAAATTGTTCCAATGGTTAATTACTCTCACTGTTAAAAATGTACACCTTATTTCCAGTCTGAATTTGTCTAGTTTCAACTTCCAGCCACTGGATCATGTCAGACCTTTCTCTGCTAGAAATGTCTACACCTTTCTCTGGTACTTATACCCTGTAATCAAGTCACCCTTTTAACTTCTCTTTGTAAAGCTAAATAGATTGAGCTCTTTAAGTCTATCACTATAAGGCAGGCTTTTAATTATTCATGTGGCTCTTCTCTGAACCCTCCCCAATTTTTCCAACATCCCTCTTGACTTATGGACACCAGAATTGGACAAAGTATTCCAGCAGTGATTGCACCAGTGCCAAACACAGAGGTAAAATGATCTCTCTACTATTTCCTGAGATTCCCCTGTTTATGCCTCCAAGGATCGCATTAGCACTTTTGGCCACAGCATCGCACTGGGAGTTCATGTTCAGGTGATTATCTGCTATGACCCCAAAATCTTTTTCAGAGTCACTGCTTCCCAAGATAGAGTCTCCCATCCTGTAAATATGGCCTACATTCTTTGTTCCCAGATGTATACATTTGCATTTAGCCCTATTAAAATAATTTTTTTTACCAAGAGATCTTGATCATTCTGTATTAGTGACCTGTGCTCTTCGTTATTCACCATTCCCACAATTTCTATGTCATCTACAAACTTTATCCGTGATGTTTTCTTCCAGGTCTTTCCTCAAAATGTCAGATAGTATAGGATCAAAACAGCTGCCCTGTGGGACTCCACTAGAAACACTCCTGCTCACTGGTGATTCCCCATTTCAAATGTTCTTGATGTAACAGCAGCTGTGTTAGGTAGCATTTCAGAAAACGAAAGGACCCTTGCCTCCCTTTGGAGATGGCATAGGAAAGAGGGACACTCCTGAGAGCATTTTATCTAATCTAATCATCATAGGGTCTCAACCTATTTCCTCAAACATCCCATTACTACTCCTTCCCTTGCTCACAAAGCCTTGTGAGAAATTAGATTCATCTGCTGAACTGTGCTCATTTGTGCCCCCCGTCTGTGTTAAATGTGGTAATAGGCCATGTCATGTTACTTGTGGAAATTGAGAAACAGCCCAACCCACAGTCCTTACTGATTCTTAGGCCAGCAATAGCAGTGAACCACACCCACACCTGGTTTTGAACACTATTAAAACCTGCTGTGGAAGCAGAGGCTTTGTGGAGTTGGTGACTTGTGGGATTTTGTATAAGAGTGTTTGACTGGAAGTTAGCTTAAGATTTAGTTTACTGCTAATGTTTCTATTTTATGAAGGAATGGAGTCCCAGGTGTGCCAGAACTTCCCTGCTGAGTGTGAGGCTGGTGTGACCTGTGTGGTGAACCTGGAACTGTATGCCAGTGGTGTCTATTTGTCTATGCTGAGTGTTTATTTTTCTTTCAGAGAAAAGGAAGTAGACAGAAGTGTTCTTGAGATACATATGAAGCCATTTCTCTAAAACTTAATAACTAGTCTATATTTTTAAAAGATGTAACTTATCAGTTTTTACATTGAATAGTAGAACCACTTGGCAGCCTGCTAAATGCCTCATCTTCTTCTTGAAAGCTCTCTTGCAGTCAGTTCCAAATGTCTTGGGTTGGGGTTAAAAGAACAGCTTACTGGAATGCACTGAGCTTTATGTTCATAGAATCTCTTGTTCCAAAGCTGACTTCAGTTACTGGGATTCATGTTAAAATGTGGCCTTCTCCCTGACCACCTTTAACTATTTAAATATTTCGGTTAAAAGGGTTGCTCTAGTAATATTAAATATTCTTTTGGACTGGTATGGCAACTAACTATGCTGAGTATAGGTATGCGAAGCTATGTGTGGGAATTTGACCCCTAAATAACTAATTAGGGTTATCTCAGCTTCTATAAAACAAAATAATTTGGCTATGGGGGGAGTTAACTAACTCAATTAGCATATTCTTTGCGTTGATGAATACTTTACTTCCCAAGGAGAGCTATGAAGTGTACCTGTTGGGTGTAGAAGATTGTCAAATTCAGGCACTCAAAAGCCCTTCTGTGTGAGGTTCATGTTAGTAGCAACATCAACAGTATGATGGGTTAAGTTGTGTGGATTTAATTGGGAATAACTCTCCTTAGAGTCAAGTTCCCCTTTGTGTATTGGAAGGAAAATTTCCTATGGATATCTGACATCACATGACAAAGGTCTTTGTTAATATCTTCTACTTCTCCCCAGTCCCGCTACTTCGACCATGATGATGTTGCCCTGAGGCACATGCTCCAGGTTCTGAAGGAGCCGTCCCAGGAGAAAAGGGAGCATGCAGAGAAGTTCCTGACATATCAGAACAAGCGAGGGGGGCGTATTGTCCTTCAGGACATCCAGGTGGGAGAGAATTTCTGTATCCAAGAATGGAACTGCTAGTCTGAACTCCCCAGGGAAAGGGGCTAAGTAATAGGGGAATAGCACAGAACATGGTATGCTGGCCTTGCCACAAAAAGTCATCTCCACATAATCAGCCATAGGCCTCTCAGTGACGGAAGAGGTCTCAGTTAGCAGAAAAAGAAAAGGATAACAAATAACATAGGACATTGTTTTTTGAAAGGCTAGGGCTGCAATAGCTGGTGTAGCATTGGCCATTATTCCGTGACTAGAGCTTCAAATGACTAATATTGGCAGGTGTACATGAGCTCTGACCAAACTTGAGGGGCCAGGAGAAACTTTTCTTCTCTTTTGCTATTTCCCTGCACCTAACTGCATTATCTTCTCCTATAATGAGGAAAGAAAACTGAAATAAATGCAACTTCCAGGGAATGAAAACTTGTGCTTTGTAAATGAAAATGCTGCTGCTGAGAAGCAAGGTGAGAGTATCTCACTGCAGGATGTGAATCTGTTCTCTGGCACAGAAGCCAGAGCGGGATGAGTGGGGAAACAGCCAGGAGGCCCTGCAGCTGGAGAAGACTCTGAACCAGGCCCTGGCTACTGAGAAGAATGATCCCCATGTGAGTGAACTGGGACTAAGAAGGGGAAAACAGCTGCCTTTCCCTACAGTGGTTCAGAAAAGACAACTGGGGTAGATTTGGGAAGCCGCATAGACCATAGAGGGACCTATGTAGGGCAGACCTTCCAAAAGGCAAGTGTTGGAACCTATTTCCCAAGCCTCCTTTCTCAAGGTGTGGTGGAAGGGTGAATATTTCTATAATAAAGATGATGGACAGGAAGAGTCCAGTCTCCTTTCATATGGTGTAGTCATATACCTATATGTCATGCCCTGTGCTGCAGCTCCTTAAGGAAACTGGACAGCTTCTCATGCACTGATGGGGCACCTTCCAAAATTCATACAGCCCCCATTGCTAGGGACATGATCCAGACTGGCTTCTTTGCAGACAGTAAGAGAGCTCTAACGACAGACTTGTTCATCTCTCAAACTTGAGGTCCCCTCACAAGATAATGCCATTTAATGAGTACCTGCAATGGCTAAAAATCTGTGCTTCTAACTCCTATTTGTAATCCTCCTGCAGCTTTGTGACTTCCTGGAGTCTGAGTATCTGGAGGAGCAGGTGAAGGGCATCAAGCAGCTGGGAGACCACCTCACCAACCTGAAGCACCTGGGAGTGCCCCAGAAAGGCATGGGAGAGTACCTGTTTGACAAGCTCACCCTGTGGGAGAGCAGCTGAACTTCATGGTGTAGAACCAGTCCAGTGTACTGGCTTACCAGTGCATAGTTGTATTGCCTTATTTGCAATGTCTGAGAATAAAATATGGTGCTCATTTGTGGCGTGTCTGACTTTGCTTACAGGGTGCTCTAATTAAACTCATCCCTGTTGTGTGCCCCTGGCAGAAATGACTGTATGCCATATTATGGATGGATGGATGGATGGCTGTCTGTGCCTGGTTTGCTGCAAGCCCATACTTTCTGGGTCACAGATGAAGACTTGTATCAGATGGGTAGCTGTGTTAGTCTTCATCTGTAAAAAGCAACAGAGGGACCTGTGGCACCTTTAAGACTAACAGAAGTATTGGGAGCATAAGCTTTCGTGGGTAAGAACCTCACTTCTTCAGATGCAAGACAAGATAGATGCAAGACTTGCATCTGAAGAAGTGAGGTTCTTACCCACGAAAGCTTATGCTCCCAATACTTCTTCTAGTCTTAAAGGTGCCCCAGGACCCTCTGTTGCTTTTTACAGATGAAGACTTGTTCAGCTGGTAGTGTTAATATTAAATCATACTGAAGTGCCCCTATGTGCCTAAATGGCAGCTGCATCCCACAACAGGCACATGTCCCATTTAACATGTAGTTTGAGGCCATTATTGCCCCACAAAGAGGGATAAGGACTATCTTTATTCAGGATTGTCACCTGCTGCCATAGGTGTGTTTCCTCTACCCATGTCCTTTATAGCTATAAGCCTGGTGCTCCACAGTCAATACCTTTGAATGATGATTGGCCCTTGTGAGGATGACTACTAATCATAGTCTATCGCTAGCTGAGACAGCGGGGTGGGATAACTGGATACTGCTGTGTGTGTGTGTGTGTGTGAGATAAAGGAGAGGCAGAGCACCCTCTCTTCTCCTGAGCTTCCTAACAGCTGAGGAATTGTGCCATTGGTGTTACTAGGTTTAGAAATTCCCTGGTCGTGGGAGCACATGGGACCAAGATAGTTTTGTTACTTGAGGCTAGACCCACTCACCGTTGCATATACTTGCTACTCCACCTGAGTCAGGAAATCTCTGTGCACGTGGGTGGTCTCTGAGATCTCTCCTGCTTAGACCATCCTCTCATTGGATACTATATATGTATATCCGCTCTGGCTGGAACCTACTCACCTGCTTCAGGCTAATATTGTAAATACATGTCAGGAGACAAAGGTGCAATCCTGCTCCTTTGTTCTGTGGCAGGATCACAGCTACAGAACCCCTTGCTAGGGTAAATGAGATAAAATAGTACTTTGGAAAAAAAAAGGAGGGGGGGCGGGGGACTCAAACACTCAGGGCATCTGTCTTCCAAAGTAGGGGGAGGAGCAAGAACAAACAAGAAAACCTAGTTTCCATTTTTAGGGTTTTTTTCTTGGCTTAGTAGATACTAGGGTGATAGGTGCCTTTGGAATAGCCTCCTTCTACCCAAAGAGAGCTGGGTTTTGAATAAGACATTACATTACCTTTGTTGGGAAGTTAGAGATGGGGCTGATGCCATTTGGTTTACAGAAGGTGCAATTGAAGATTTAAAGAAGGTGACAGCTTGAAACCTGTTTGTCCTCAAATATCCTGCATGGAGTAACACAGCACCGGAGAGCTACATCGACACATGAGGCTGTCAATAAACACACGGTTATTGAAAGCTGGGCTCTGTGTCGTCTCATATTCTAGCATAGTGATAACTGGAAGAGTAGCAGGGCCAAGCTGCTGTCAGTGTTGCTCTTTGCCTTTTCTGCTGCCCCCCTCCCCCCGTGTGAGATCTGGTACCAGCACCAGTGTTCAAGGTCACTGATTTTCTACAACTCATTGCTCAGTGTCAAGGTACAGTTTGTGACTCCCAGTCTCTTTGAAGTTGTTTACAAAGGGAATCCTGCTTTACATCTATGTTTAATTTGGGAGGAACAGATTTCCAAGACGGCTTAATATGTGAGATATTCTATGTAAATGGAGTATTGCCCTTACAGACGATTCAGAAACTCCATTCTTTGACACCCACATCCCTCCACTGCATGCATTATCCAAAGGGTCATCTGTCACTTTCTTCTCTGATGTGGCTCTGGTATGCAGCAGGATACATTCCTGATGCTAAGAGCTGCTTCCTAGGATTGAATGGAAGAGAAGACCTATCAGTGTGTACTTCATTTTGTTTTTAAATTTTGTGGTTAAGAAATATGGATGGCAGAGAGAGGGATTTCCCAGTGCCTCTGAACTTGTGACCCTTTGAGGGAAAACTGGATCCTGCAACCAGGGGGACTGGAACAAGTTTCATAGTGGGGGTGCTGAAAGCCATTGAACCAAACTGTAAACTCTGTATATGATGGAAACCACCTCAAGGCCGGGGGGGGGGGGCAGCACCCCTAGTTCCAGCACCTTTGCCTGTAGTTGGGTTTTTGAGTATTCAGTCACTTCTTGCAATGCTCTGTCAGACAGACTTGCTGCATTGACATTAGCCAGGAGGAACAGACCTCTGCAAAACAAGTGGGATGCAGGATATTCTGTTTTTGCATTGCCACAAGAATAATTAGATGGCTGTTCTTGTTGGAATCATTGCCATTTTCACATATGCTGGCTGCTCCAATCTATATCCCCGGGGCTCCCCTTGTGTCCCTCCAGTTCCCTTAGGTCTCCACTGCACTGCTTGAGCTGTCCTCTCCCGGTTGTACTTTTGCTGTTGTTATTTTTTCCTTTGTAGTGCCCATAACGAGCTGGGTGCTGCACAAATATGAGGGAAGGCGCAATCCCCGTTTACACTCCATTGTGATGCTCCAGCCTTTGTGCTTTCCTACCACAGTCTCTCCTGTGAGAAACCCCAGCCTACTAGAGACAGATCTGAACAGAGAGGGGATTTCAGAGTTCTCCATAGAACAGAACAGGGAGTTGCATTAAGCAACATTTCAGATACCTGAGAGGCTTTGGTGTTCCTTGGGAAATGTCACAAGAAATGGGAAGCCATGTACAGTCCAAGGAACATATATCTAATCTCATGTGTATCTATTCTGTATGGGCATTTATACAGCCTCTATTATCATAGTGACTCAGCACCTATATAAACATTCCTCCGGACACCCCCTAACACCTCTGTCCTTTCCTTCCCCACAGGGTGTTATTGGATTTATTTGCTGAGCCTGTCACTCTGTGTCTGGCTGCCATACACCAAAGGGGTGGTCATGGTAACAGGTCAAGTCATATTACTGAATCACCCCTTCATCTGTGGGAAGTGAGGAACAGCCCCACCCTGGATGCTCATTGATTCCTTGATGCGAATGAGATTTCCATTGGGCAGCAACAGCTGCCAATCACACCCAGGTGTGACTCAGAAGGGTATTAATAGCAACTGTGACAGCATAGGTGGTAGTCTTGTTGTGGTAGTGGTTGTCTAGGTCTTGATTCCAGAGTTAGTTTACTGCTAAAGCTCACAAAGAGAGGAATGGAGTCTCAAGTGCGCCAGAACTTCCATGCTGAGTGTGAGGCTGCTGTGAACCTCATGGTGAACCTGGAGTTGTATGCTAGCTATGTCTATCTGTCCCTGGTGAGTGTTTCTCTCTTCTCTAGTGTTTCTGTGTATCCAGGACTGGGTATGTGGTTGTTTTTTTTTTTTTTTTTGCATTAGGGGGATTCATGTTCTTATACTAAAATAAGTTTGAGGTTTCTCTTATTATCTGGGTTGAAACCCTTGAGTACCTTTTCCAAGTAGCTGTTCCTGAAGAAACTTTAGGCCAAGATAAAAATTTCCCTTTATAGAGGTCTATAGATCAGCTATTAAACTAGTAACCTTGGAGACTGATTCTTCAAGATCTAGAAGGGTCATTATGTTCAACTTTGTTTTGTGAACCACTAATCCTTTCTCTTTATTAATTCAGTGGCTAGTGAAATATCTTCATGCTGGACAACTGCTTGCTCCTAAGCCATAGTTAAGTAATGGTTCTCCTCTTGTTTGTAACTTGCAAAGTTGGTCTGAAAAAGATTCCATGGGGGGTGGGGGGGAGAAGAGATCCCTCTATATAACAGCACAAACAACTCCTAGCCCTGTTAAGTGTATGGGAGAAAACTAGCAACTAGATTCTTTTGTCTAATGGCATTGCTTTAATTTACAGCTTGCTGTGGGAAGCAAAGAGTCTGAGTAGTTACAACCTAGCACTAGTTGGCTGGCAAACTTTATATAGCTGGGATCTGGCAGAAAAAGGGATATGCTCTTCCAGGCTTCTTTTTCTGAGTAGCTTTCTTACTTGTAAACCCAGTAATCAGTACTGCATCTGTATAGCCCTGAAACACTACTTGTGTTTTGCCTTGAAAATGTCCTGCAGGAATGTGAGGCAGTGGGCTATGTGGATGAAGTAAAAGGATTTAGGTTCTCTGTAAGTTCTGGAGTATGGGAAGAACTTTCAGAAGCCCTTCTCTCTGTCTGGCTTCATCTGAAGGTGTATAGCTTGCTTCTTCCTGTAGTAGGTAAGCACAGTGAAGGTATGGGGAAGGCTCTATCCCTACAGCTGAAGAGCTGCTGCCTAGAACAATGAAAGCCACATGAATAGTCTGTTCACAGTGAGAAACTTTGTGATACGATGCTTTATTACTGTCAAATGTCATTCATTTCCTGTCTTCCTCCCCAGTCTTACTACTTTGACCGTGATGATGTGGCCCTGAAGCACATGGCCCAGTTCCTGAAGGAGCAGTCCCATGAGGAGCAGGAGCATGCAGAGAAGTTCCTGAAATACCAGAACAAACGAGGGGGACGCATTCACCTGCAGGACATCAAGGTGAGAGACAGTCAGTAATCACCCAAACAGGAGAGTAGCATGAAGATTCTAGGACAGTAGCTCAGCATTTCTTGCTGTGTGAACCTGCATAGGCTGGTAGTGGCATCAATTTCTCCTTTGTAAAAGAGCCATAATCTACTACCTGATCAGACCATTGTCCTGGTGCTCATTTGAAGAATAAGAAACGTTTACTTCCTGCTTCTTACCTAGCATGTATTGGGCTCCATTTTCAAATGGACACTATCGTGGTTGGTTTTTCTTTCTTCCGAATGGCTGAAGTGTCCTTTGTGTGAGGAGACTGCACAGCTAGTGGCCCTTTGTTAATTCTAAAGTGTTTGTGGGTCAGAAAAAAATACTGCTTTTCTAAGCAAAAGCATGAGAATAAAATTGCTGAACCACAAGAGGCAGTATAGCAAGGAGCTAAGCAAATAAGGTAATTCTCCTAGATGAAGGAAGCTGGGATCCATTTCTAATAGTGAAAGTGTTTCCATTCTATTACTGGTCTCCTACAGAGGCTGGAGCAGGATGAGTGGGGGAACAGCCTGGAGGCCCTGCAATGTGCCCTGCAGCTGGAGAAGAGGGTGAACCAGGCCCTGCTGGATCTGCACAAGCTGGCGACTGAGAAGAATGACCCCCATGTGAGTGGCTGGCTAGAGAAGGGGAAAATGGCAATCACCATTTCCTTTGGAACAGATGAGTAGGAGAGGTTCAGAATTTGAACGTTGTGATTCATTTGAGGAGAAACTACATGGTGTGGTAGGTGGGAGTGAAGAGGAAACATGCTATAAATCAAGAACTGATGAGAAACCTTCCTGGACCCTCTCTCTCTCAGTTCTTTGCCCTTCACCTCTGCTTATGTTTTGCCTCATATGCATCCGAAGAAGTGGGCTGCAATCCATGAAAGCTTATGCTCTAATAAATTTTAGTCTCTCTAAGGTGCCACAAGTACTCTTGTTCTTCCTACAATTAGGGTTTGGATTAAAGTGACTGTATATGGCCTGCTCTTCCTTGAGTTCTAAACTTAGATGGGATTGGGATTTTGTTTTGCCTTGCATGAGGTTAATACAATGACTCCATGTTCCTTGCTATCACCTCCTACAATTCCTTATTGGACACCTCATCCAGGCTTAAGGTCAGTGGTGCTATTGCTCTGGACAAACACTGTACAAGAAGCAGTATCATTGCTGAAAATGGAGGTCCCACCTTGGGAGTATGCCATGAGACACTTGCAGCTGTGACATGTGACTGAAACTATTGAGCTACAAAAATCTGTAACCAGCATAGTCCTCCTAACCCTCTGCTTTTTTTTGCAGCTGTGTGACTTCCTGGAGTCTGACTACCTGGAGGAGCAGGTGAAGACCATTAAGCAGCTGGGAGACCACCTCACTAACCTGAAGCGCCTGGGAGTCCCCCAGAACGGCATGGGAGAGTACCTGTTTGACAAGCTCACCCTGGGGGAGAGCAGTTGAACTGAACTCGAGGGATATTGCTTATTTGGTGGCTCATCTGTATGTAGAGGAAACAAGAATTGAGCTAAATGTGAATAAAACATGGCTTTCAGTTGTAACCTGACTCTGCCCTTTCTTAGTGTTAAATTTGGCTTCAATGAGTATGTGTCACTAATTACACTACACACAAACAGGGGCTGCACATCCAGTGAGTGCCCTAGCAATTACTGTAGATAAAATAACACGCTTCTTGGTTGTGCCCACTATAGTATACATCTGGAAGGGAACACACTCTACGACAGCTGGATGGTCATTCCCATCCTTTGCTGTTTTAACCCGTGAGTGGTAGGCTAAACAGATGCAGCTTATTTGCAGGTGTAGGAGTTTCTGCATCTTCTTTAAGTCACTTAAGTGAAGCTGGATCTATGCCTACCACCCAAGGCTGTTATACTGTTGATTCTCTAGTTAGTATCCCTCCATCAGTGAGGTACACTCACAAGCAGTACCTGCAGCAATGAGGGGGGGAAATTTTTTTGTTCTAGGATTCTGATTAGGCAGAATGTCATGTAACATAACCTGCCCCTGCAAGCAGCTAGAAAGTGTTCAGCTAGCGCTGTCCATGTACTGTCTCATAAGAGGTCTTCTGACATGGCTCTAGGCAACTTTTTTTTATAAAAACCAACCCTTCCTTAGTCTAAAGCACAGATGGATTCTGTACATGTGCAGGGCTCTGGTGCTAGCTTTATGAAAACAGCAGTTGGAGAGCTTCCTGCCAGAGGAGCTTAAGTATACCGCAAGGATCAATATTTTCAGATGTTCCCTCTTCCCCTGCAACATAGAACCAGGCACCATACTGCTGGGCAAAGGAGAGTGTGTGTGAGGGACAGCCCACTGGCTGCCTAGCTTTCATTGCTATTTGTAGGCCTGAGAGAGGTGAGCTTTGCTTGTAGTTAGCTCGTGCTGGCTAGTGTCGCTGTAAACCAAATGCCATGGGCTCCCCTCCTCTTCAGTATGGAACAGAATTCAACACTTTTCTCCATTTACTAATAGGAAACTATTCTTTTTTCCCCCCCCC